GAGGCTTCCAAAGTTTGGGTTTCATTCAGATTAGAAAACTGAGCAAACAGCTTTGAGTTTGCCTGACGCCTTGAGTTGAGAAACCTCAAAATACTTGACAAGCAATGCAGTCAGCCTTGTGACTACCCTAGAAGATGGGACAGACTCATTGCCATTCTACAAATGGGGAAACCAGGGTACAGAGAAGGAAATGGATGGTCTCAAGTCCCATAATCAGCTAAGAGCAAAGAGGTCCCCACTTCTCAGACTCTGAGTCTCTTCCTTGCTTGAAACCCATAGACCTGAACCAGTGTTGGTCATGTCTGACCTTGACATTGCTAGACAACTGTAGCAGCCATGGGGGAAAGGGATACTCAGAAGGGGCAGTGAGGCCACAAGAAGTCAAAGCAAACCATGGGTGTTCAGGGAGCCACGTGGACAACAACAACAACAACAACCCCATGCAGTTTTAGGCTCCTGTGGTGGAGATTTCTTGCTGTGGAGGCAGTAGCTCCTCTGTGTCCACCTCTTCAGTTAGGCATTGCAGTAGAAGAAAGACATGGATGGCTTGAAGCAACCAGAAAAAGGGCAACAATAAAAAAAATATTGTTGGGTTGGAAGGCCTGAAGAAGAGGTGGAAAGAAACGGATGTTAAATGTTTTGGCCTAAATCTAAGTGGGTTATGTATGGCTTGCACTGGCCTTTTTCTGGCTTAAGTCTGTCACCCATTCTCTTTCTCCAGGGTCAGAGTGAGCCAGGATGGACAGTTTCTGCATTACATCTTCCCCTACCAGTTCATGGACTCCCCTGAGTGGGAGTCGCTGCGGCCCTCTGAGGAAGGAATCTTCCAGGTAACCCCTTGACTGTTCCAGAACTGCTCAGACTTGTTCTTCTTTGTTCTGCACATGTATGGGAATGGGAGGAAAGGGCAGGGAGTGAACTGTCAGTCCACCAACCCATAGCAAATCGTATGGACTGGTACTGTCATCCAATGCATTAACCTGTTTCTTTCTTCTTTTGAAGCATTCAGTCTTCAACTGGCTACAGGATACCAGAAGGGCCATTGGTGTAGCTGGGAAACTGGAGTCATTGCTCTGTTTCCATTTGCTGTGTAATGTCTGCGCTATTAAGTTGCACAGCCCCATAACAGTGAGGGTGATTCATACCTGCATCCAGCTAGGTTCAAGTGTATATGTCCCTCCTAGAAGGATCAGAGGCTCTTCTGGTGCCAGATGGCTGAGTGTTGTTTGTAGCAATTGTATTCCTGAGGCTGCCTGTTTTGGACTCTCAACCCCATAGTACTTGAGTACTTCCTATTCTGGAGGAGGGTTGTTAAAATGCTGGATCAGCCCCTCTCTCTGCTATCTGGGGTTGACTAATTCTTGTCAGGAGGTTAATGGCCACTATCTAAAATATGACAGAGAGAAGGGAGTTCACTAATTGCCTGAGTGCAATTAGGGTTATTGCAAGTTATACATTGCATAGGGTGCCAACTTCAGACCTGGTGTAAATGGTGTAGTAGTTGCCTTCCTGCTTTCTCAGGTGTAAATGTGGCCCCCTCCACCTCCTACTGAGAGAGAGAGGGTGGTTGAGGTTACTTTGAAAGATGAATCAGCTGCCACTGACAAACTCAGGCTTGGTGGATCACAAGAGGAATCATTCCATGGGATTATGGCAGGTTTGGTAACTCATAGCTCATGGCTTGTGAGGAAGGGGATAGCTGATGGTGGCCACATTGTGCCCTCTGAAGAGTCCTCCCTGAGGAAGAAATGAGAGAACTTGACAAGCAGTGCAGTCAGCCTTGAGACTACCCTAGAAGGTGGAACAGGCTCATTGCCATTCTACAAATGGGGAAACCAGGGTACAGAGAGGGAAATGGATTGTCCCAAGTCCCACAATCAGCTAAGAGCAACCTCCTGGGGGTTGAAAATCTAACTGGGCAATTTCTGGGAAATAGTGTGTTTGTGGAAGGAAGGTACTTCAACAGCTGCGCTTAGTTGGCTTCAGGAGTGGATCCAGTGAGGGTGCAGTGGTGTGGATGCACCCCCTTTCAGTCAACCTTGCTGTGGGAGCAGCAGCTGGGGACATTTTTTTCCATTCCCTAAAGCAGGTCTTTCCTCTCTACTCAGTGGCACTTCCCTCCCATCCTCTCCCTTGCCCACCACTGCTATTGTCTCTTGCTGTCCAGTGGATTTCCGGGGGGGCTCCAGAGCTTTTCCTGTTCGGGCTCAGCTGTGGACAGTGGCAGCAGTAGGCAGGTCCCTCCTTCCTGCCCTGCCAGCCCAGGAGCAGTTGTACAAGAAGGGAACCTGCCTGTTGCTGCTGCTTTCTCTAACTGAGCCTAGCTCCATGTGCAGCCCAGCTGGAGTGA